GTAATAATAATAATAATAATAATAATAATAATAATAATAATAATAATAATAATAATAATAATAATAATAATAATAATAATAATAATAATAATAATAATAATAATAATTCTATTAAGAAAATATTTGGACTGTTAGTTTCAATTGTTTTTAGATGGACCACATATTTGCATCGATCTTTAAGATGGATGCTTTATACTTCTGGACCGCATATGTAGAAATGCGGTCCAGCCCGCATGACACGATTTTCCCTTCTTATATCTCTTAAATTTAATGCTCAATTGGCACTTGTAATGTTGATTAAGGAAATAAATAGATAGTTTAAAACCACCTGTATTCAAGGTTTCCAGGATATAAAGACAGTAAATATACAAAATTAATTACATGATGTGTTTATCAAACATTGTGAAACAACATGCTTGCAGAACTCTTTCTGCCAAACTGTTTTCATATGAACCAAACGAGCCCTAAAGTCACCAATAGAGCATAGCGCCGCAATGCACCATTTTCCATAGAACACAGCATCTCCAAGGCATTCTCAATATCAGTGTTTGAAAAATCGAATCAGCCTCAAAAACCATCTAAGGGCGGTACCGAGTAACAGGTAAACCGGCTGGTTCAACCAGCTTAACCAAACAATTCAGATAGCAGGATTGACTACACTCTTGTCTGTTAAAATGCTAAACAAATAGGGCCCTACATTTCAAGGTTTTGAAAGGCCAAAAGGAAAAATAAAAATCGCAAAATAACACCTTTCTTTGGCAGGTTATAGTTGAATCTCCAAGGCATTCTCAATATCAGTGTTTGAAAAATCGAATCAGCCTCAAAAACTATCTAAGGGCGGTACCGAGTAACCGGTAAACCGGCTGGTTCAACCGGCTTAACCAAACAATTCAGATAGCAGGATTCACTACACTCGTCTGTTAAAATGCTAAAAAAATATGGCCCTACATTTCAAGGTTTTGAAAGGCCAAAAGGAAAAAAAAATTTGCAGAATAACACCTTTCTTTGGCAGGTTATAGTTGAATCTCAACTTATAGATGTACATGTATTGACAAAAACAGATGCCCTAATGTTATATGAAAATTATTAACACTGCGTGAAGAAAAGTATGGTTTTTGTCAATACATGTGCAATCTCTTTTTGACAGGGGATCATTCATGTTTCTCCTCTTGCCACTGATACAATATAAATGGAGCCCAACATTCCAGCTCTGAACTTCCAGCAATGAAGAAGAGTGAATGATGCTATGGAATTACATCCAACCTAGCATGGTGTGGTGGCGATATGACATTGTATTCTCCAAATACAAATGTTCTGTCAAGATGCTCGCCCATGACCTCCCATTTCTCCTCCTTGCTTAGCTTCCATATCCCCAAATCACCAAACTGCAGTTTGAACCCAATTCTCCTTGCTCAGCTTCCATCTCCCCAAATCACCAAACTGCAGTTTGAATGCACTTGTGTTGTGACTTGTGAAGGCAGTGGAATAACTTCCCATTCTTCTTCGTCTTTTTCGATATGCAAAAGCAAACAACATTTTCTCACCCATATTTGAGAACACTCCATAACACACACCATGGATTGTAATAACCGTTCCTTGTCTGGAAACCTCTTTCCAAGGTATGGTTACCAAGCTAAAGATCCTTTTTCCAGCATATGGTTACCAAGCTAAAGATGTTTTCACTCACACCAAAACTTTGAAAGTCTGGTTAATGGGATCGAAATAAGGGATAGAAATAAAAGGCTTTAATATTTAATGGTTAATGGAACACACCAAAACCTTGAAAGTTGAAAGTCCGGTTAATGGGATTGAAATAAAAGGCTTTAATATTTAACCTTGAAAGTCTGGTTAATGGGATCGAAAAAAAAGGCTGAAATGGAGTGAAACTTTAGAATCACAGTGTACTTACCTTGAAGTTCTGGTTAATGGGATCGAAATAAAAGGCTTTAATACTTTGAAATATGGAGTGGAACTTTAGAATCACAGTGTACTTACCTTGAAAGTCTGGTTAATGGGATCGAGATAAAAGGCTTTAATACTTTGAAATATGGAGTGGAACTTTAGAAACACAGAGTAATTTCTGGTGGGGTGGAACTTTAGAAACACTGTGTACTTTCTGGTGGTTATTGGGATTGCAAACTATGACAATCTGTAAGACACCATGCCTTGGCTACATACTCAAAATTCTACATACTGAATTCCTAGTCAAAATCCCTCTTGAGGGTAGGTTTACCATTAGAAGGCAATCTCGGGAATATTTTCACTTAAATTTTTCGAGGGGCACAGGAAGAGAAAGCGAAAGGACATTGAGATGAGGGCAAACGGCTCGGAAGGTGGGGTCGGAGAGAGATAATAGATTCGAGCAAATTCAAGAGAAGAGAAAAGTTCTTGCCATGATTTACATGTGCATCTGAACCTGCATATGGATTCCACAGGAAGTGCCAACGGGATTTGGAATACAATGGATTCTGACACTGCTGATAGAAATCGGACCATAAGTTCTTCATCCCAGAGAGAAGATTTTCTCTGCTGCTGGGAAGCTAGCTTTCCTTTTTATAATTTTAGTATTTTATTAACTATTTAATTTCATAGACCAGTTTTACTGGTGAACCAGTCTAATTCAAGTAGTCCGAGCGACAGGTCACCTCATTGGTTTGGAAAAGATAAAAATAGAGCCTATAATGGGATACACATGCATTCTTAGTTTTTGCAGCACATAAATTTTAACCAGTCTAACCATCATTTTAGTAACCAAAATTAAACCTACAATACAGAGATTACTCCACTTAATAGGAATTCATATTAATTTCTAGAAAACTTCACCTTACAAACTTAATTCACAGAAAAAGCATCCCTATCAACCAAAAAACATATAAAAAAAGCGTACGTTTTGCTGAATTTCAAACATAGCAACACCATTTATTAACATTCATTTTCAATTTCATATATTTAATCTGAACCAAAACCTTATCCTACAAAACCCACATTTAAACTCTGCAACCATCAGGAAATCACATTCGAACTGCCCTGAATTGATGACTAGAAAAGCAGCACAACCAACCATCATGCACAAAATAAAAAGGGAAAACAGTACTATCAATTAACCACTCTTTTACACATCCTTCATACTAACGTAACATGGAGGACATGGATTAAAAAACGAAACCAAAGCAATTCATGGAGGACATGGATTAAAAAACGAAACCAAAGCAATTCATGGAGGACATGGATTAAAAAACGAAACCAAAGCAATTCATGGAGGACATGGATTAAAAAACGAAATCAAAGCCATAGTTAGCTGGCCAAATAATTAAGGGTGGGCGTAAATGGAAAAATTCCATGGCGAACCCAATTGAATTTTCTTCTCAAATGACCATTCTTATATAAATAAAGCTGCTCAATACCGCAGAAACTAACTCTAGCAAAAAAAAGAGAACGCCGATGTGGGATTATACTCCATTGATGAGCAGTTTTAAATCCAAATTCTCTAACCATAAACGGACCTAGAACTTTCTCCCACTTCTTAATCTCCTTGATCAGCCTCCATATTTCAAATTTGTTCTTCTCAGCTGAACGAACCAAGCACACCCGCCCTTCCTGCTCGACCAATTTAGTGAACGATACCTCATACTCGTCCATTACAGGTAGAGGAATGTGTTCCCAATTTTCCTTCTCCATGTCAAAGGCAGAAACCATATTCGGGCATTCATTGAAAACTTGGTAACAAATGCCATCCACGCAAATGGCAGGCTGCTTCCAACACATGATATCCTGCGAGGCTGCAATCTGTTTCCAATGCCCGGTGGCCGAGCTCAACATGGAAAACTCGGTTGCCGAGACAAACATGGTAAACCTCTCCCCCCTTCTGTGGAAGAATAACCTGCGGACCAATAACTTGAAAGTGTGGCTCACAGGGTTGAAGTAAAACCCTAAAATTGTGGGATGACAAAAATGGTGAAAAGGAAAGGTGAGATGCTGCTTAGTTACAGGATTGCAGACATAAATATTAGGGTTTTTAATGATGGTGTAGGACACAATGCCATTACTGCAAACGAAGTGATTGAGATGCCCTGAGACTGGCAAGGTCAAAGGAGGGGCTAGATTGGAATAATTTTGGGTGAAGTTCTTGGAGTTCTGGAGAAAGATAAAGCCCTGGCCATTGGAGGCCAAGGCAAAGGTATCAGAAGGAAGTTTGAGGGAGAGAGAGTGGAATTGGGTAAATTCTTGAGAAGAGAGAAGCCGTTGCCATGATTTACACACACATTTGAACCTGCAGATTGATTCTGTGGGGAGGCTTGAGAGAATGCATAGTATAATATCATCAGAAATATGAGTAAGAAGAATTTTCACGGGACGCTTCCTCTTTTTTGATTTCGCAGAGGAAAAATTTTTCTTTCTTGATTCTTCCTTTTCTTGGGCCATGGTTAATTAGTGAGAGACAGTGAGGTTCAAAGATATTAATCAGAGAGACAGATAGGTTCAAAGATTGATGAATAGAGAAAATTTCTGCGCAAGTTTTTGTTCAAATTTTGGTTCTGAATCTCATCTCCATCGCATAAATCGGGATGGAGATTATCTTTTTTTATACGAGGTGCGATTTCTATACGGTTGCGACCATAAACAATCCGATTAAGGCGCGCTTCCAAATTTTATAATAGGTAATTTTGATGTAAAATATAATTTAAGATTATCTCAAAATCTATTTTTATATCTAATCATAAAATTTTAAGTTTTAGAATAAATTAAAATCAAGTAAATCAAACATATGAAAATCTTGAAATTGGACGGTCTAAATAATGTATTACAAGATATATTATTTTTTAAATATAACTTTTTTTTTTTTTTTATATTCATATATATTGATATCTAGATGATCAATTAGAGGGCTTTCAACATTAACAAATTTTTCCAATGGATTTTTGAGGTGCATCTTTATTTTTACATTTTAAGATTGCAACCTTATATGCACCTTTTTTTTTTTTTTTTTTCTATATTCAAGGAGGATTATGTTAGTTTACTTATTGTTTTGTTTTTTAAAATATTTTTGTTGCCTTATTTCTATCCATGTATCCTACTTCTTTCTTTGGATCAATTTGGGAAAAATCCTTTTTTTTTTTTGAAGGATGCATCACAAATGTTCTTTTCTAATTGTCACTTTGGTTTATAACTTTCCATGCTCTATGCTTTGCTAACTTGCTCGTTGCAATCATGTCGAATCGACCTGGGTGTGATGGGTCAGGTCCGCCTCCAAATGACCTGTACCTACCTTAAGTCAAGTTTGGATTTGGGTCCATCTTAAACTTTATAAAGTCGAGTAAGATTGGATAAAGATTAAACCTACTCAAACTAACCAAATATTTAAACTAAAATATACAGTTATATAATTTTTTTTCTTTTATCTAGACCCCGACCTAAGGCCTTGGTCAGGTCTAGGTTCTGGGTCCACCAACCTAAAACTGACATCAGTCCAGGTGGATTTGGGTCTAGCTAGGACCCAATTGGTCAAGTATTGATTGAGATTGACCTAAACCAAACCTCTTCAAGGAAAAAAAAAAACCCATTTTTTTGAAAATGTTCAACAAATGAATCACCTCTTTTTTTTTTTTTTTGCTTAGGGTGCAGTTTGTATAGAGCCTAGGCTCTAAACAATCAAATTAAAGCCTACCTTCAAATAGCATAAAAAAATGTGGTTCGAATACTGAAAATCTTTGTGATAGCCGTAAAGTATATTTTCCTCTTTATTTATAAAGTTTAAAGCTTCAAAAATAGTGTAGATCGACCAATCTATAAAAACTTGAAAATCTTGAAAATTGACGGTCCAAAAATGCATTACAAAATATACTATTTTCAAAACTTGAAATCTATTTTTTCTCATGTCCATGCAGCGAAATGTGATTTGAAGATATTTGGACATCAAAACAACCTCTTCTAGTGAAATTTTTTAGGTAGGCTCTATATAAACTTTTTTCCTTTTAGTTGGGTTGGAAGAACCTATTTTCTTGAAATATATCAAACCTCGTACTCCTTCAGAACTCACCAACTTTCAAATATATCACACCTCATACTTTTAACAGACCTGCCCAACATAACATGATGTGGCAAGTTCAGTGAACAAGCACCCAAAAACGTATTTTGAGTACTCCACCTCGAAGTTTTGGGTGTATTTTGAGTACTCCATCTCGAAGTTTAATCCACAAATCAAGCATTTGTTATCCGCAAAATAAAATGAAAAAATGCCTACGTTTATGAAAATTTTTAACATTCATGAACATTCCTACTACATTTAGAAAAAACATGAAAGATCCCCAGTCAAAAGGAGTTGCAATTCAGATGCCTTAACCTTTATACTGAAAAAAAGAAAAAGAAAAAAGAAGGTTTACATTGAAATTCAAATGTCTTAACCTTGATAACTAAAAAGAAAACCTTGCTCAGTAAAAGATTCATGCACAAAATAGAGAGAAAAAAAATGTCAACAACCTCTTTGACTGCTGCTCTGACATGGATGAGAGGGACCTCCAAATAACAAGTTTCAATTCCTCCCATTCATTCCCCAACTAGGGTAAGGCACAAGCTTACTTCCAAATAAAGCCTTCCAAATACTGATCACCAAGATATAGAGACTTAGTTGCTCATTGCGCGTCCCGGTTCATGAATATTCAATTTTGAAGGCCTCATGTTGCCTTCAATGTCTAACAAGGTACTCGATGGGTTACCTGATGGACTTGGAGGGTCCTCATATGTATCTTAGACCGCCTTGTATACAAAAGAAGCTACGCCTTTGTGAAACAAAATGCTAAAGCACGAAATACAATCAATCCATTCTTAGCTACCCCAAGTAATTACAATCAAAGAGTGTAGGCTTGAAGGGAGAAATTCTAGGGAAACCACCTTCACTAGGTGCTGCAAGCCAATGGAATTCCCTGCTAAGTTTCCTTTTGCCACTGATATCATATAAATGGAGCTCGACATTCCAGCTCTGAACATCGGCAATGAAGAGAGATCGATTGTATGGAACTACATCCAAAGTAGCACGGTGTGGAGGTGATTTGAAATCGTATCCTCCTAATACAAATGTTTCGTAAATATGCACTTCCATGACCTCCTCCCATTTCTTCTCCTTGCTTAGCTTCCATATCCCCAAATCATGACCTTCATGCGTATGAACAAGGCACACACAGCCTTCCCACTCCACCAAACTGCAGTTTGATCTCAAGACTTGTGTTGTGACTCGTGAAGGAAGTGGAATAACTTCCCATTTTTCTTCTTCTTGTTCTATATTCCAAGCAAACAACATCTTCTCATCCTCATTTGAGAACACCCCATAACACATACCATGGACATGTAATAACCGCTCCTTGTTTATAGAGTCTGGCAGGCTCCCAACAACCTTTTTCCAACATCTGGTTAGCGAGCTAAAGATCCAATAATTGTTTTCACTCCACACCAAAACCTTGAAAGTCCTCTTCATGTGATCGAAATAAAAGGCTTTAATACGTAGAAATATGGAGTGGAACTTTGGAATCACAGTGTACTTCTTGGTTATTGGGTTGCAAACTATAACAATATCACGATCTCTCGTGGTCGTGTAACACACCATGCCATGGCTACATACTGAATTCTGAGTCAAAATCCCTCTTGAGGGTAAATTTACAAGTGGAAGGCACTCTCGGGAATATTTTTCACTGAAGTTCTTCGAGGGGCATAGGAAGAGAAAGCCAAAGGACACTGAGATGAGGGCAAACGGCTCGGAAGGCGGGGTTGGAGAGAGATAATGGATTCGAGCAAATTCAAGAGAACAGAAAAGTTCTCGCCATGATTTACATGTGCATCTGAACCTGCATATGGATTCCACAGGAAGCACCAACAGGATTTGGAATACAATGGATTCTGGAAGTGTCGATAGAAATTGAACCATAAGCTCTTCATCCCAGAGATAAGATTTGCTCTGCTGTTGGGAAGGTACTTCATGCTCTAGCGTTCCTTCCCTACATTTTACTTCCACTTTGGTAGATTTTGGTTTCACCATTGTTGTTACGAGAATCAAATATGTGTGTGTGTAGGTGTGTGAGTGTGTGTGTGTGTGTAAGAGAGAGAGAGAGAGAGAGAGAGAGAGAGAGAGTAGTAGTTAAGTTAAGTAAGTAACGTACTAGTACGAAGAAAGAAAGAAGAGACGACGAGTAGTAGTTAGTTAGGTACGGAACGAACGAAGAAACGAAACGAAAGGAAGGTAACGTACGTTA